GCTTGTGCGCATCGCTACTTGGTTGGATGGTTGTTCTGTTGGTTGGTTGGTTGCATTGGCTGCTTATTTATTCAGTGTGGCAGATAGTGGTGTGAGACCACCAGCCGCGCGCCAGCTTCGCTTACACACCACCAGTAGCAGCAGCAGCAGCAACAGCAACAGTAGCAACAAAAAATGGTTGCCCATTGCCTTCTATATGCATTAGTTTGTGTATGTGTATGTGTGTGTATATATATTTTAAATCGGTTGTGCGCTTCGTTGTTTGGCTGTGAAATAAGTTGTGCAGCAAAGTGTTGAATGTAATGCATTTTTTAATTTGCTTCACTTTTTTGTCGAGTTTACACCAGATTTGCACAATTCTCAGGCATTTTAATGATTCGTGTCACTTCCATGGAAAACAAATCAATGGTGTTAAACACATACAAATACATTTATTTTCACTTACAGTGAATGCTATGAGTGTGGCAGTAGTTTAAGACGCTGCTTCACACTATTTGTGAATTAATTCAAGGTTAAGTTTAAAGCCTGAAAAGAATTTCTCGATTAATACATATGTATGTAGTCTTTGAGTGAAAAATATTTTTTTTTTTGCATAAAGTTCAGGGTGTTTAAAAGCGAGGACTTATTTATAATTTAATCTCTAAGATTTATTATTATTACTACCAAATACCCGGCGTGCTTTATTGCGCCTTAAAAGTATTTTTGAGTTCTTACTTCCTCCCAAAACTCTTATGGCCACATTCAGCACATTCATAAAAAATATTATATATTTAAAGGGCTTTATGAAGTGAGATTTTCAAGAAAATTTTTTAGTTAATTATTTGTCCATTGGGTGTTAGTTAATATACTTTCGAGGGTATTTAAAAAGTAGATATAGATTCAAAAATATTTTCGACAGTAAACTTTCCTAAACTTCTTTAGTTTGATACCCATATTGCAATATATCTACTCAATGCAATTATCTACTCAATTGACTTGAATTCAAATTTTCAAATATGTGGCAACCTTCCACAAAAATAATTTCGGCTGTAAGCCTTCTGTGTGGGGCTATTTACAGCTGTCGTGTAGCCACACAAACAGATGTCATGGTGCGGGTATCAGACTATATTTTCTTTATTATTATTTTATTGCCCTGAGCACGAACCTGAAGTGCGTTTTACTTCATTACGTCAGGATTTTTTCTAACCTCAAAAAAAGAACAGTCCAGCGCCTTTGTCTTGGTCTGCAGGCTGTATCGGAGACACAGCCGCTAAATTTAAACGTAGAATACATGCTATGGTTAAGAGCACATCCAAGTCATAAACGAAAGCACATACTGAGAAAAAAATATTGATACAAAAACCGGTAAAAATATGGATAGCAAAATCGATAACAAAGTTGATAAAAATATCGATAACAAAATCGATAGTAATATCGATAGAAAAATCTAAAACAAAAGCGATAACAAAATCGATAAAATTATCGATGACAAAATCGGTAAAATTATCGATAACAAAATCGATAAAAATATTGATAACAAAATCGATAACGAAATCTATAATAAAATCGATTACAAAATCGATAACAGAATCGATTAAAATATCGATCACAAAATCGTTAAAAATATCGTTCATTATATCGATAAGTTCCGAAAATATCGATAGCAATTTCAATAACAATATCGATAAAACTTTTGATAACAGAATCGATAATAAATATCGATAACAAAATCGTTAAAAATATCGATCATTATATCGATAAGTCCCGAGAATTCCGAAAATCTCTAAAATCCCGAAATAGTCCCCAGATTGAGTCTCTGTCTATATCCTTTTCTCTATAATTACCTTTATTTTAATCTCTCTTCCTCTATCTTCATCTTTACTTTTATCGTGTCCTCATCCTCATATTTTTCTTTATATATCTTTGTTTTTACTTTTAAGTTTATCATATTCTTCATCTACATATTCTCCTTCACCTGTGCCTTTTATAAACATTGCGCCATCTGTTATTCAAAAGCCGAAATACCTACACATACATACTTTTTGTCTCCTTCTCTCACTTCCAGCGCATGCACGTGTTTGCAAAATGATGACGAAGTGATTTTGTATGGAAAATTATTTATGCCTATATATTTGAATCAAATAAACATACTTAGAAGATATCAACCAATGCTTCCCATATACCAAATGCTGGCGAGATGGGGATTTCACGTACGCATGGAAGAGGGGTTGAAGAATACGATAGCATATATAACTCCATTCTTTCTTAAGTCGACTTAAGCGGTTATTGCTTATGACCACAGATATTTCTATTGCTGCAAATCGTAAGTTGCCAGAGCACTTTAAAGGTTCAAAATGTACCCCACAATAAACCAATATTTACCGTTGTTTGTACGACAGAAACCGAATTGGTTACTTACACTTTTCTTTCAAATCGCTTCATTAGTTCTCGTGCAATAAGCGTTTTCGTAAAGCTCTAAAAATTACAACTACAACATTTGAGCATAGCCTCCATATCGAAACGTAAGACGTGTTCTACGTCAAAAACGTGACTGTCACATAATATCCGCCAGATTTGTTGAGGCTAAGAAAAATTCCTGACGTGATGGAGCAAAACCGAATTCATATTTGTGTTCAAGTCACCAAAACACATGGGGATAGGGTATTACTGTCAAAAGCACATGCCACTTTTGTTTTTTCTTTGTGGGACCGCGTTATTATTATTATTGGAGCATATAGCTCCAATACCTTGGACCTTACTAGACTAATTGTGCTAACCCTTAAGGAGTCACTCTAGCCTTAGCTTATTGATGAAATTAGGCACGTTGGAGGGTGTCGTGTTCCAGAGTCTTGATGGAGATGCTAATCGTGCTCCAAGGTGTATAAGTCCCAGTCGAATTATACACGTGTAATCACAAAATATATGTTCAGAGGCTTCCTCCTATGGCTAAAAAAAAACAGCAGTTCCTCTCCTTACAGAGTCCCATTTTGTTCTTAAACCCTCTGTGCTAACATTCAGCAGTCGCACGGAGATTCCCGGAAGAGGGTGTGTGTGTTTTTTTTTCAATTGCCTTTTTCCCTTTGTCGTGCCCTAATAGGCTGTGATTTGCGAGTCCCCCCATCTCCTTAGGTGCTCTGCCGTACATCCTCTGGATGGATCACATAAAAGCTGAAGATATTTCCCTAGCATGCCAGCCCAACCTTTTCGTTGCCATGGAAACATTTGTGGGCCAAAACCTACCACATGGTAACTCTATTTTTGGTTCCTAGTTGGTCCAGTACCAAATGGCCCCTTAAATCCCCACTTTTCAAACGACATAAGTTATTTTTCAATAAGTGTAGCATTATTTAGCTATTGTGTTTATCTGATGCAAGAATGAGTCCCCCAACGTACTAATTATTAAATTTCACGGTCTGATGCTAATATTCGAAGGCTGTTAAAAGTGGAATGAAAGTACCCTCTCTTGCAAGCTCGTCTGCTTTCTCATTTTCCGATAAGTAGGCAACTTTGTTGCGGTACCCAAACGAGGTACAAAGCGAACTGTTCTAACGTCACGTTAAGTGATTTGCGACTTAAGATACATTGAAATGGTCAGGTACACAGTTGCGTTCCCGTGTAGGCACCTCGTCCTATTGTGTTTTCTAGTTTGGGGCCATCTGTGTAAAATTTTATGGCACCTTCAGATCTCGGAAGTCCTTCCCTCTGCAATTATTTTGTTCCTACAGCTACAAGTTATCCGCTGTGTCGCTGTAGTGTAGTGGTAAGCAGTGCGCGCTTCCACTCCGCAGGGCCTGCGTTCAAGCCTTGCTCAAAGCAACATCGCAAAAATATATAGAAAAGAGGTTTTTTCTTTACAACGGTCGCCCTTCGACAGGCATTGGCAAACCTCCAAGTGTATTTCTGCCATGAAAAACAGCTTTACATAAAAATACAATCGCCGTTCGGAGTTCGCATAAAACTGTAGGTCACTCCCCGTTATTTTCAGATCAACGCTCTCTACTTCCTACATATACACGATAACCATAGGGGATAGGACTCCCCCTTGCAAGGTACCTCTTTCTACGAACATGATAAACGCAACTCCCGAAAGCTCCGCCCGCTCCTGTATTGCAGCATTTAGTCTACGATTTTTAATTTTTTTCCGCTTGGCCTTGAGTTGGCATCACAGCTGTTGATCAAATCTGCATCGCAGTGTTTTTTGCTAACCTTTAGGAGAATGTTTGACATTTCTTGTTTTCAATCACAAAACTTACTAATATATAGATAAGATTGTGTTGCGTCATAGAACTACAAGAAGTAAAATGATCGAACATTTTCTAGCCGAGAACTAATGCAGCAAGGAAAAGAGGAGGTAATTTCTTTTGATATTATTTTAATTTTATTTTATTTTACTATGGAATGCATTCAAAAAATTAAGCACACATAAAGCGCGTAACTGCTTACATAATATATACCTACATATACATATAAGTCTGTATACTACAACTAATTAAGCTTCAATTCTAGATCTTAGAGATACACAATTGCCTTCAGTTATATTACATTTCAAATAATTTAATACATACATACATCAAATCTATTTAGGTTCAAATACCCACTGGGAAAATAGGTAAGCACCTTACGAGGTAAGCCATGTTTTCTTTCAGTTTTTAGTACCAAAATTGTCATCATGGCCAATGTCATCTACTAGTAAAGCACAAAATGAACACCTCCAACGACACATTACGTTGTCAGTTGCAAAGTAACGTGCAGCCGAAGTTATCTCCAAGCGCCGAACTACTCCGAGCGACTTCTCTGCATTACACGTAACTTACTTTGTAAAGCGGCTCAGAAGTATGTCTGATACCAAATGTACATTCTAAATTCCTAATTACATAAGGCGGCCATGCCTTTGTAAAAGTAAGGGACGTTCGGCAGGGAAATGGCAATGACTGCCAGGTGAAGAGTAAGTTGCTAATAAGGTATTATTACGTGCTCCTAATTCCCACTGGGTAAATACTTCGAATCAAAATTTTCTCCTCTCACCACTGACCCCAAACTCAGTTCACTACCTCCACATTATCGTTGCAATCGTCAACAGCTAGCGTCTCTGCCTGTTGACTCCGCGTCTCATCACAGCTATCGTCACAGCAGCTACTGCGACTACTGCCGCTCGAACTGATGCTGCTGACACTCGATTCATCTTCCTTGCGTAAATTGCCCGCATGTAAACGCATGCGCTTCTCTGGTTTCTTTAAAAGCTCCTCAATCGAGTAGGGGTTGCGTTTGCGAGAATTGGTCACATTGCTGTGCGTTGACTCTCTGCCGCTTAAGGAACCCACAGTTGGTGCGGCATTCAATGAAGTCGCCGGCGAGGACTTGCCCGAATCACAATCGCTAAGCGCATCACTCGCGCCATGCGAAACCAAGTCAATAGTGCTTTCTGCGCTTAGCGCGCTACCAATACCACTGCTGCTACTGCCAGTGCCGCCGGCATGGAAATACGCTGGACATTGAGCTTGCGCGTACGGTAAAAATTGGCTGGCGACTTGCGCATGCTGCGTGGAATAGTAGAGTAGCGAGGGATGCCAGAGCCAGTGCTTGTGTAGCGCGGTGTAACTGAGATCCTGTGCGCTGAGATGCCCCGAGACCGCTGACGAAACGGTGGCAGAGAACTGCGCTAGCGCTGTGTGACTGCCACCGGCGGCACTCAGTGCTGCCATATGCGCTGCGGCGGGGTGCTTCGGTGCAGGTTTGATAGGCATGTCACCGATTGCGCCTGCAGCACTTGTGGGTGACAAGAGACGTGCTTCGTTTGCGGCCACAGTAGCATTAACTTTGGTGTTCTCATTGGCTGCAACAGCCGCTGCAGCAGCGGCGGCGGCGGCAGCAGCAGCAGCTGCAGAACTATAACGAAATTGTGCTGGTAAGCTTAGCGCGTGCGGTGCAGCGACGTGGGGATGATGAGTGGTGGGGTGGTGCGTGGCGGTGTGCGCATGGTGGGCTGCTGCAAGTGGTGGTAAAGATGCGCGATGCACGAGTGTCGCCGGTGGTGAGCCGACAGCGCCATCTGCAGTGGGCGGGCAACTTGACGCGCTACTACTGCCAGCAGCAGCTGCGGCAGCGCTATTCGCATAGAGGTGTGCTTGCGTTGCATAGGCAGCGGATGACATTTGCTGTGCAGCTGCAGCAGCGGCGGCGGCGTTTTGCTGACTCGACGTCATTTCATCCGTCCAAAGACCGCTGTTGCGGAGAATGCGATTGATGGAGCTGATCGAGGGTACCGACGATGGGTCGCAGACGCGTTGTTGCTGTAGCTGTTCGCGTATCTCCCAAGCAAACATGCCGCTATTCTCCTCCTTCAGTCGAATGATCTTCTTGACGACGGTGGGCGTGGCCACTTGCTGAAAGTAGACAGAAGAGAAATGGCAGTTTGAGTAAAGATTGTGCATAAGTATAGTGGGACGGGAGTTATAAAATATTTGCACGGTATCAGCGTTGCACTGTTGCAAGAAAATGTTCAATTAAAGACCGTGAAATTCAATTGTGTCTGCAACACGTGAAAGCTGTTAAAAACAGGTGCGGCACGCAATGCACTGCATGCAACTCAAACCAAAAATCTGCGCATTCGTTTTGAAATTTGCCGCCGTCACAGGATTTCCTTGTCGGTCGAGCGCGCAACAATAGTCAAGCGCCCTTTGACCACGCCTTAAACGAGTTCATGAAGAATGGCAGCGGAAGTGGCGCAAATATTTGCAAATCAACGCTCAAACTTCACATACGTCAAAAATACTCGTAAATGAAATATGTAACATTGCAAATATGCACTGGCCTCTGCGGCTCTGTCAGCCCAACCATCGACGTACAAGTGTTTCGTACCATGTCACAAGGCAATTCATTAAAAATGCATAAACTTGCTTACCTCACAGCAACTCCACGTCCGTACAAAACCACAACCGCCCCTAACCACCTCCTTACATTGCCACCACTACCCTGCAGTGAAAAGCCAAACCAGTTAGAAAAAATACTAGTTCATTAACTAGTATGTGCCTACCAGTCCGACAATTTCGAAGAACTTAAGCGATCAGCGACATCTGCCTCTGAATTGCCAAAGCCAAAAATAAAACGCAATTAATTGCTTTTCTTACAAATGTCGGCTGTGGCGTCACGTGAAGACTACTGGTTGTGGTTCTGAAATCGCAGGTTCGAGGCCGCTTGGAGGTGGTTAAGATTTTTAAAATTTAAATAAATGTAAGTAAAAATAATTTATTCAATTTATAAATAAGTAACAAATTTGAAAATCTAATTGCATTGCAAAAAACATTTAGGAAGAAATGCTAGTGCTATAAAAACAAAGTAATTAAACAAAAATATTTTTTTTATTAAATTTAAAAATTACAATAAACAGCCTAAACAAAAGAATAAATTTATAAAACATAAAAATAAAGTAAAAAATAGAAAATAAAAAAATTTTCCCTGCGCCAGGATTTGAACCTGGGACCTCAGGCTTACCACGCGAGTGGTTTGCTCTGTCGGCCATTGTGACTGCTGGAGCGTTGCGAGCAAAAAGGCACACTTATGCTTTTCACGGGGCATGAATTGGCAGACTATCTCATCAACTGGTATGATGCTACTAGTATTTCTACTAGTAGAAGCTGATGCATAGCCTGACAATTGACATCTCGTAGGACATCGTAATGTTAAAAATACCAGTCGCTAACATTGAAAAAGGATAGAACGTGAACTAGTTGGGATGAAACGCAAACTGGTAGAATTCTAGTTCACAACTAGTAGCTTTCCCTGCAGGGTACCACCAGTGTTAACTGTGCCACACACACACACACATACACATGCTCGTACCTTTCCCCACTGAAATTATAGGCTGCACTGTCCGCTGTCCGCTGTCCGCATCGTTGGCGATGTTTATCAGCAACTGAACACGCTAGTCGAGCGCCCTTTTATAGCGGTAGTTATGCACGTGCGTATATCTACTTGTATTATTACCCAATACAATGCAACAACAACGCCCGACAGTCAACATTCAATTGAGGTGTTAAATGCGCATTTTGTTCGCCCATTGTCTCGAGGGTGGTGTGGGGCGCTGTGCCAAGCAAATATGAAATCAGCGGGTAAATATTGAATGCGCTACTGTGGCGCTGATTTCTCAACGAATTTCGGTATGGAATTGCATATGTCTGTAGTAGGTAAATAAATAACTATGATAATGATTAGAGATATGAAAGAGAAGTTTACTAAAGCATTTCCTTTATTGAATTCTAATGGCTATGTGTGAATCCCAACTGTAAGTATCCTCATGTGGTTCTTTAAGTGTGGCCATTATTTTCGTTGCGCTATTAATTAGGGTTGCGCTGACAATTTATGATTGATTGGTTTCGCACAAGCAATACCTATCTATATAAATATTTTGTATGCTAAAAAATATTTAAATAAATGGATTGTGCGCTGGGTCCTCCTTCATTTGCTGACGACCAGGACAAACGTTTACAGAACTACAATTTTGGGTCATGCGCCTTTAATGTCCGAACTCTTAATAATAAAACAGCCTCTTACCGGCTGGTTAATGTCCTAAAAACGACAAAGTCTGACATCACCGCTATACAAGAAAAAGAAATGGAGGGATAAGGTAAAGAATGCGTGGGGCTTGCGACGTCTACTACAACTGTCACGTATGTAAAAGAGCGCAAGTCCGGTATTGGATTTGTAGTGGCGAAAAGACAGCGTCGTCGAGTACTAGAGTTCACTCCGTCGGACGAACGTGCAGCCACAATCCGCATCAAATCGAGGTTCTTCAACATCTTGCACAAGCCTCGACGGAAGAGAAGAGTTCCGCGGATTTCTTGTAGGAGCACTTGGATCGAACGTACGAGCGCTGCCCCCGTCAGGACATCAAAATCTTGCTTGGGACCTCAATGCCAGGTTGGGAAAGGAATAGATCTTTGGCCCCACTATCGGAGAATGCAGGCTCCAAGACGAAACGTCCGATAACGGACTGAGATTGATCGGTTTCGCCGGGTTCCAAAACAAGTTCATCATAAATAATCCACCAAGCTATTGGATGTCTCCAGATCGAAAATAGAGAAACCAAATAGATCATGTTGCGATAGACGAAAGGTAGTGGCTACAGACGCTCCAGCCCAGAATTAAACTCCGTTGGTGGTAGCAGACGAGGTGGGCGGCCGCCTCAGCGACAGGAAGACCATGTGGAGAAGGGGTTTGGCTTCAGTTTGAATTTCCAATTTGGTGTCCGTTGGCATAGAAAAGAGCCGACTGGCGTGCTTTGTTACACTAGCACAAAATAATAAGAAGAAGAATAATTCGACCAGTACCTATATCTACCTACTGGGGCTAGAAATGGACTCTAAAAACGAATGTAAAGCAACAGCTCATGTGTTTCGAAAGAATTGTTATAAAAATAATTTTTTGTTCAATCAAAGCGTCCTAAAAATGCGATTAAATTAGATGGTTAAAATATAAACGGATTCATCAACCCCCGAAGTCTACGATTGGTGAAGCGGTGAACTTTATTTTACTGGGTTAATGCAAATTTTTACGGTGGCCTTTTTCCGGTGCAGCCTAATGTACATTTCCGAATCAAAACCCGGCTACTGCTGTTCCTTTGGGCTCACAGTGGATTTTGGCGTTGCCAAGTACATACAATTATTAGTTTATCACTGCATTGTCAGATTACAGGTAGCAAAACAGTAGCTAAATGCGACTGATACGATCATAAATGGTGCGTTTCGTGGAGATTACGCCTGTCATAATTTACACACTCGCCTAGAGCTGAGGGAAGTATGTATGCAAACTAATTTTTGTGTGTGTTATTTGTTTATTGTTTTGTTGAACCGCGTAAGCGCACTTGAAACGGGCGTGTGAACTGAAACGCTCAAGTGCAGCTGGTGCACAGGATTCGCCTGCTAATTGCAGCGCGTTATCGCGTTTAATAAACGAGATTGATTTGTAACAGTTACTTATAGAGCACATGAAAACAAAAACAACTTATAAAAAAAGCTTTAGCACACTACTAAACTGTGTATCTAGTTGGCTGGATGGTAGTTGAGGTTAGCGGCGACGCTATTGACGGAATGGGAATTGTTGTGGCTGTGACGTGAGCAGCTACCACTTGAGGGTACACCGCGTAGGATCTCCGCGCGCTTTATGACAGCTACAAAATGTTCATTCAATCAACGCAAATGTGTGTTAGCATGTCAGGTCGAAACGTACGAATGTAAATAAAAAAAATAAAATACTTTGCACATTAACTTGACTGTGGAGTGATTTGTAAGCATTGTCACAGCAAACAGCTATGCAACAGCATTCAACAGAACTCGGTAGACAGCCATTAATATTTCCGAATCAATATTTGCTTCGGCCTTATGAAAGCGCAGGTGGGTTGAACATTTGAATGTATGTAGTGTACTAGCACGTCATCAACCTGATTGAACAGTTCAAATTGAAGGTCGTAAGTTTTGATTTAGTTTATTACAATTTTCATCAATTCGATGCTTACCTTGGTTTTGCTGCCACCAATCGATCCCGGTCGTATGGAACCAGTTTCATAGAAGCGTGTCAAGATCTTAGAAACGCAACCTGTTTTAAAACACAAAAGATAAACACAAAGGTCATGTGAGATGAATTATTTTGAAGAAGTTCGTTAGTAATCTAAATATGCATATGTGTGTGTTAAAGGGAAAATAGATATTCTCTCAAATAGATAATCTGGAATAACTTAAATACATCAACTGGAAGGTGTGAGATCCTTCAAAAATATTTGATGCAAAATAATATATATTTGACAAAAACGGGGGGGGGGGCTAAACCAATCTACTTCCAGCTATCATGGAAGAGGTACTATAACGCGATCTCTGCAGCAGGTTAATAGCTGATTTAATATGAAAGCTTTCGAACGAGGAATCGGCGTCGGACCATCGACACATAAGATTTCAAAACCCAGAGCGATTCGATCTCCGAAAGTTGGCCGAAATTCTTACAGGAAACGAGCTGGCCTTGTTCAGAACCATAGTGAACATAAATTCAGACTTGCTTTCAAGTTCAATTAACTCTACGATCAGACAGCTTTTTAATATGCCAAAATGTTCACTTCAGCAGCTAATAAGCGCAAAGTTCTAGCCTCCCGTCTGCAGAAAATTGTATCAAAACAGCCAACCATGGTGTTGGACCTCCTATGAAAGCCAGGTGGCAAGATGGATCATGTAAACTTCCTAGGTTGCGCCGTAGAATCCTTTAATCTTTTTCTAATCCACAGATGTACTGGTGACTTTATCGATTGACTGCTCTTTCGATTTAGGCCTAGTTATATCTATGTATTTGTGAATACAAACATACAGAGTACTTGGATGAAGGTTTTCGTCTTATTTATTCTCAAATATGGCAATCTGCCCCATGAATCGGCTAGACCATAAAATCCTATTAGCCAAACATTTTTCATTCACAATATCCTCAAAAACTGTTAAGCCTACACGTTAGGTAAAAACTGAGGCTTTCCTTTCCTATAAACATCACTCAGTCTTTATTTGCCACCGGGAAATCGACAGATAATTTCATAAAGCATCTGGTTAGTAATGGAAAAGGCCATCGAACTCCGCAGTTTGCTCTTTTTCTTAAGAAAATTATATGGCCAGACAGGCTCCCATGCCTCAAATAATTCGAATCTAAGTAAGTAGATTTATGTGCTTTCTTTAAATATCGTCAGGAATACTGTCTATGGATCTATCTCAAGGAAGTATAATTTCTCCGCCATCTTATTCTCTCGTAGTAAATAGCTTCTTTATCAGTCTATATGAGTAACGTTACGACGTCAATCGTTAAGCAGATGACCTGCATATGCGAAGTTCTATGTCTAGTGCCAAATTGATATTCCAGTTGCTCTGATGTTATTCACAAGAACTTTGGTTTCATCGCCCTTGGAGGGCAGCGCTTAAATAGTCTGACGTGGTCAAATATTTGATTTCACCTTTCATGAGGGGCTGAGTCGGGATTCCCCTTATTAAAACTATTTGAGACATGGGCTTGTCAAAGAATTTTCGGTCGGACAAGGACAAATATTTAAAAAAAAATGCAGGATTACAAATATGAGGAGTTGTAGACCCTATGTTAAAAGATATATGCTTTTGGTTAAAATCTCAGACCGGGAAACCTAGGCAAATTGTACATAGACAGCGGGTATTTACGGATCTAGTGCCCTACCTATTACAATGCGTTTTTTTTTAGGGCGAGACCCTAGCAACTTCGACCTACGCCAAAAAAAAAACGTTTGTAATGCGCTTTTGAAGTTGTGATTCGGCACGTTCTTATTTTCAAGCTTATCAAACTGATGGTAAGAAACAAGATAATTTTGTGTTGGATACCGGGTTATTTCGTCGATAAAATAGTGGGAGAATGCACATCTGTTGTCCTATGAATGAAATCATTTTGTTGATTTAGCTGGTCTTCATGGCTTATGATTACAGCGTAAACTCAGAGCTACCTAAGAATACTGTACAGAAACGGTAGATGTCTAACATAGGCCAGGTCTTTCGCTAGAGAGAATATTATTCTTCTAAAGAGAGACAAAATTTGCAAAATTTGGTTTGGTTTGTTCACAAAGACGGAATTCTGTTTTTATTTGCGGACGACGAGACGGAAAACTATAACACGCGTGACATCGGGCATTGACAAGACTAAGATTAATTTCCTTCAGTTCCTCTAGAGTCGATCCTCTACGGGTAGAGAAATTGTCAACCCTCACTCTTAGAAATAATTACGGAAAATAACAACATCTTTTGCCTTCAGTGTTAAGGAACTCACCATAGGTATCCAAACGAACTTCGATATGGAAGATAATGAACAAATCTAATTGGAAACTTTTTAATTAAAGAACTGTTTTTGATCTTGGACTTAAGTTGTACGAGTACAAAGCAATTGATACTGTTCACAATGAAATCTCGACCTGAGGACGTCATTTTCAAGAATTTTGTATCAAACTTTGTTTATTGCAGATTTTAGCTATGCAAATTTTTGTAAAATTAGACTCAAATGCATCTCTAATTAATATTTTCGTTTTTCCCAATTAATCACGAACCTATGAATTCCCTAATTAAAGGGATTGTAATAAATACTTAGATCTGATGTATTTGAGTTTCAGCTACGAAACAGATATTTTAACTTACCATGTGAGACCAGTAATTGTCGGGATATATCACAAGGACGTACACCATAAAGTGCCAACTCCACAATGCGGCGCCGCACAACGTCCGGCAGTGGACGGCCATTGACGAAAACGCCACCCAATTGATTGACACCAGCCTGACCTGTGGAGAGAAGATAAACAAATAAATTAGAAGAAAGAAGAGAAAAACTACAATACGCTTTCTTAAACTCGACTACAGGTTTTAAAAAAAAATAAAAAAAATAATCCTAGAGACACAACAACTAAAAAAGTTTTGATATAAATGTACATATTCTCTTGAATTAGAGCAACACCGATATTTATGTGTGTTTTGTGGTTGCTTCTGGTATCTAAAGCGTCAAAAAAATTAATATATATATTTTTTGTGCGATTAGAAATATAAACAAAAGTTTTAATAAAAAAATTGGTGCGACTTTCTTTCTTTGTGAATTTGTTTCATGGCAGAAGTATCAAAATATCCTTTGCAGGGACCAATAATCAGCGTTGATGTTCCTGGGTTAAACAACGTTCTAAACAGGGACGGTAACAGTTACAACTTTTATTAAAAAGATCGCTCGTTAACTGTTATTTTTTTACTTTTATTAAATTACTCCTCAAATAACAGTAATTTCTGACCTTTATTTTATAAATCGAAAATAACAATTATTTTTGATTTTCATGTAATAACAGTATATCAAATAACAGTTATTTTTGATTTTTTAATTTAATGTCTCATATAACAGTTCTCGAAAACATTTATTTATAAAAGGCATAAATAAAATTCAGTCAGTGACTTTTACTTTTAAAAGTCATCAATATAAATCAGTTACTGACTTTTATTTTTTAAATCATACTTATAGAAGTTATTTATATAAGTCGCAGTAAACTTCCGTTCTCCAACACGTTCTTAAGTGTGAAAAATAATACCTGATTTTTATACGTATGACTTAAAAAATAAAAGTCGGTGACTGATTTATATTGATGACTTTTAAATATAAAAGTCACTAACTGATTTTATTAATTTATGATTTATAATTGTTAATTTGGATTTATAAAATAAAAGTAATTGTTTTTATTTTTATTTTTCTCGGTGAAAAAAGAAATAGATTGGTATGATAGTTGTAGAACATTTCTTTCATAGTGAATTTTTCGATGACAGTTTTCATCAATAACTGTTATGTTCGGTCCCTGGTTCTAACGGCTGGATTTCAATAGCTTTTTTTGAAGATTCACAAGCAAATACATTTTGCCAATTAAGAATTTTGTAAAAAAAGAAATAACAATATTTGACAGTTTAAACACCAAAAAATTTGGAAAATAATCAAATCAGCTGCTCTACTACTACCAGCTGCTTAATATGCCTTGCTTGCCGTCATTTTGATTCTTTTGGTATTATTTTGTAGTGGTGTGACGTCGATGAAAATGAAAATTGATTATGGGTAATTTTTCAAAAATTCGCTCCGCTATGCGGCTGCTTTGGGGTACGCGTATCGAAAGCAATTAGCGATAAGCTAATTTTTGCATGGCAGATTTAGAAAATGATTGCGCACGCGATAAAGAACATAAACATACTTTGTGAACAATGAAATAAGATTTTTATTTTGGAAAACAGACAAAAAACACAGTTAGTTTATGTACAAAGCACCCCACTGTCAGCAGCGCTGTTTTTTAAGTTGCTGAATATTGTTAGCTAAAAACCAAATTTTTAAATGCTAACTAATTTTTAATTAATCACCGGTTGATTTGAAAACTGATAAGTCTATAGTCTTTTGGCTTTCTCACTTGTGATGTATTCTTGTTTTTTTAGTGCGTATTGTATTCGTTTTGTTTTGTTATAACTAGCTGTTGCTTCGCTCCTTTGAAAGATACTACTAATTTTTATCTAATTATTTTAAACCACTACTTGAAGAGATTTGAAATATGTTAATAGTCTCAAATGTGCTGCGATAAAAATCTGACATTTGAGCCATGGCGTAGCAACAATAGCAACAATAGCAGCAGCGGCAGCACGAGCCTCAAAATTTTTTCATGTGAAAGAGCCGAGAAAGCGCGTTAATTGCAGTTAATTGCATACGATTTCTGATTCCTTCGTCGTATGTCATTTCATACTTTTCGGCGAATTGTCAACACTTCTTTACGCATTTCATTATTATTGGATTACTATCTTTACCTATATTTTGTTGGTGATCTTTTAGATGATTTGAATTTAAAATCCTTTTATTTTTTGGTTATCAAAGGTTTGTTTGACGGCCGCTGTGGTGTAGTGGTAAGCAGTGCGCGCTTCCACTTCACAGGGCCTGGATTTAAGCCCTGGCAACATCTCAAAAAAAATATAGAAAAGGGTTGTTTTCTGTAGGTCCCAGTCCATTGTATGACAACATCAAGGCCTACGCCACAAATCGAAGGAGAAGCTCGGCCAAATACTAACAAATGTGTATATGCCTACTTGCTATTTTCATGCTTTCCCGTATTATTTAAACAATGCTGACATTTTATATCATATATCGTGGTTTGCTTATGGCAGTTTACGCTGGATGATATATGAAAATGAAAATGCGCTATGGAAGGGTCCGCCGCTATACGCACCTTCAATGGCGGCCAGGAAAATCAATGAATACTATGAATGTTATATTATCACCATCTTCAAGGTTAGCCTAAAATTGGTTCCGGGTTATAGAAGGAAATCTCGGAACCGCTGAGATAGCTAGGAAGGGTGCTTATCTTTCACTAGGTGAAAACAGAGGTACAAATCGGATACCTATGGCAACCTGCACATTAAAGATTAGAAATAACATTATTCATTAAGCCGCTGGATCATGAATATATGAGGGCATTTGTATAACAACTAGACTACTACAGCCACAAATTGATAAGAAATTCTCAGCCTCTCAAGAGAGTACATTTCGAAGATCATTACCTATGCAACCGGTCATTGGAATATCAAAGATGTTGCAGAGATTAGGACGTGGAAGAAATAGTCGAACACTTCTTTTACAGTTGCCAATTTTTAGCAAAGAGCTTCTGTATTTCACAATGGTATCACAATGGACCCGAGCTGCTTCTCACCAAAATGCCCGTTTAATTCGATACATTTAGTATAACGATTTTCCATTTTTCTTATACCTTCCAATTAATAAGTTTTCTCAATTTAAAATAGACATTTTGGACCTCTTTATTATAACCAAATCTCTTACTACCTTTCCACTTCTTCGGATTTGAATAAATAAAATAGTCGCCGCGTGGCCAAATTTGGAGATTATGATCGATGGGTGGGAACAGGGTTGCCAGAAGAACCAATTTTTTTCATTCGCCCTATGCGGTATAGAAGTTTAAAAATTATATTTCATACAAATAGATCCGCTCAAATTGTCATAAGTGTAGCTGTTTGCCATGTATCTATCCCAAATATTTGCATATTAGCTCGAACTAAGCTTTTTCACGCACTTACCCTAACTCGTAAAAGTTTTTCATCTTCGGTGACCCCATGTCAAATTGAGTATTTTTGACGACCTTTTATTAAAATACACGAAAATATCAATATATTTACCAAAACTAGAAGCAGAGTATAGTAAAACTGCGTTTTTAATCTTTCTTTACAGGATATGATTGAGTAAAAACATATTTAAAAGATTTGGTGCATTGTAACGTAACCATATGGATATCAGTTAAAACGAAATTTTCTGTAAAATTGAAAAAATAATATTTTTTTTGGTGCAACAGAACGAATAAGTATTGAAAATGTGTTTTAAAAGCTTTTCTTTTTTTGAATATTCTTGCAAATTTCCAATATTTATTTTTGAAAAAATATATGTTAAGGACTAAGATGTACACTACCACATACTCGAAAATCGTCCATCAGACTTTATTAGTTTAGAATAAAAAAATGTGTATACTTCTCAACTTAAGTGACAATTTGATCCCCATTTCAGATAGTTCTTTTAGAGCGCATACTTGGCTGATGAATGCCGTATCTTCGTTTATATTGTAACATCAATATCTTATAAAAAGAAATATAGTCAGAAGGGCGAAATTTAAGGGTGTGGTAGTTTACAATTTTGTCCTTGACATATATTTTTTCAAAAATAAATATTGGAGATATCAAATGATATTCAAGGATATCTTTTCTTATTATCAGCGTTTGTTCGAAATTCACTTTTTCATTTTAACCGACTTCACATAAAGGAGAAGGTTATCAATTCGTCGGATGTTTTTTATTTATTTTTTGATTTATTTATTTTATTTAACTTTGGTCCACGTTAACCGATTTCAATAATTCTTTTTTAAACCAAAGATGGTCCTCACAGGTGGTCCCATAATATTTAATTTTGTTTAAATGCGATCAATGGATCATGAAGAGTTTAACGATAATCTTAAATTTTTATATGGAATTAAAGTCGGTTTTTTTATGCTTAAAAATTACTTGTTTAGTCAAATTTTATTTTACAGAGGGAAAACAGCTCAATATTTAGCTTTATAAATTTGGTCACACTCTGCACGTTTGTAATCAATATTGAATAAAAAATAACCCACATAAACTGTTGCACGAAAAACTTTTTGTTTGAGATCTATTTTTTTTTTTATTTGAAGCAATTTTTCACCAACGCCACTATCGCTTGCTTTGGAGAAATCAGCTGCACCCGCATCGAGCTCGCGGCAAGGTGTTAATTTAATATGGAAAACGCTTGCATTTGAAAAAATCGATTTTGTAGTTTTGCCCCTTTAAGATCAAACGGAGAACGCAGAAAGTCGTAGCCCCTTAAAAATTGCTTTCACGGTTATTAGTTTTATTGATGCGAAGCGCATTCTTCATGTCATTACTACGTCAACTGATGTTTATGAGTATTGGTGTTCGTCTCGAACATTTTTTTGCGTTTATTTTATAATTTTTAGTTTCATACGGGAAGCTTTTAGTTAGTCATTCTACAGCGGCAGAGACAGTGAAGTGCGATCAGAGAGTTGGTTGTTTAGTTGTCTGTGCTTTGGTGTGAGTAATAAAACTCACCGTCCAGCAGGAGCACCAAACCAAAATGCATATGTATGTATGTAAGTACATTGCGTACCCCTGCGCACAGTGATCAATGTCCACTCAGCCGACAGTCATATCTCGTTGGTGTAATAAAAATCGCACGAACTGGTTAAGTTGAACAGAGCGTGCGGAGCCAGCGTTCAAGCAGATACATACTTCGAGTAGTGTTGTTGTTTATGTATTGCTTCTGTTGTTGCTTTTTGTTTTACGATCACGCTCGAGCATCTTTTCATTTAACGAAATATCTGTATGTACAAAAACAATATTACAATACCTGCGTATGGGGAAGTCTTACCAGCTACAATAGCTCGAGCGCAAAATTTTTTATGGTACTCTACATACAAAAAAAAAAACGTGTTGTTAAGAAAAAACAGCAAACACGCGCGTTTTAAAAGATAAATGTAGAGAAAATATTTAAAATTAAAAAAGAGCAAATATTACCGTAAAACTCCAAATTACGACAGGAAGTATTTAAGTTACTTCACACCAAGCAGACACTCCCCCCTTAGCTGGCTGGCTTCGTGTAATCGCCGTCGCTTGACTCACCTGGCTTGCAGGCTTGCTATTTAGCCCTCTACTTCACGAGCGTTTCATTTACTAGACTACTTCAGACGCCGCATTAACCTCGCAAGTGCTATAGACATATATACATAAGTAATAAAATGTGCATCACTGTTACAACTTGACGCACTGGGGGGTTGAACGATTTTGTAACGCTACTGTATGTAATACATGCGCTTTTGCCGCGGGCAGGCCGTATAGGAGATATAAAATCCAACGAAATTGCCTGCTAGGTCATTTCAGGTTAGCGATCATAAAAATGTATTGAAAAATTGCATACGAATGTTCCTTTGAAGGATTAACTGATATTGTAGAGAAGTCGTTGTACTATACTTAGATGTGGAAATACATAATGGTTGTATGCTCAGCAAACGCACAGTGAAGAGAGTAACTCCTAAATACAAATCAACTGAGATTTAGAATTTTTTCATTATTTCATTTTACAAATTTCTGAAGTAAAAGTTAATTTCGAGATCTCACATAGAGCGGTTCAAATGCGTAGATGTTTCCATTCGCAACATCAATTTACTTTGATATGTCTATCAAAATTCTATGACAAAATTCCTATGGGCAATTTGAAAAGTCGGTGACTTTTTGAATAGAAGAGCGTCTTTTTCTCAGTATAGTCTCATTTTAGCTCGAAAAGGGGTCCAGCGTTTTTTAAATTTTTTATTCCTTCCAAGTTTTTTAGGGCCCTCAAATAAGCGTTTGTTTCATTGATGACCACTACATTTGACCTAAATCTCTTACTGCCCAGCCCTTTCTTCAGGCGTGGAAAAAGAAAATAGTGCCAGGGGCAAAATCTGGATAATATGGTGGATGGGGTAACAATGCGTTACCCAATTTATGGATTTTTGCCATGGTGACTACACACTTGCGCGCAGCCGTACATTGTCTTGATGGAACAGTACTTTCAGTTCTTAGCCAAATGCTTGAAATCAATATCTAATCTCTCCAAAAGTTCTGGCCGCAGCGGCGATCGTTTTATCCTTTGCAAGGTAATCATTGTAAAAGACACCGCGTGCATACCCAAAAACTGTGTCCATGACCTTGTTGGCCGACAGACCCACCTTGGTATTTTTTGGTGTACGTTCACCCGGAGAAACCCGCTGTAGTGATTGTTCTCTGGCCTCCAATGTAGTGTTATGGATCCATGTTTCATTTGCGGTAACGAAATTGTGCAAAAACAGGTTCGAATTGCGGCTGAACCTCGTCAAACACTTCTTTTAAGGTGGTCCCATGGTTACGTTTATGGTCGAGTTGGAGCAGTCGCGGCACCCATCGCGCCGTTAGCTTTTTCATATCCAAATAGTCATGTAAAATGTGAAATACTCGCTCAGTTTAGATGTCTACTCAGACTCAGCCACCTCGCGCACTTTTATTCCCCGATCGTCAGACATCATTTTATAGATTTTTCCGACGATTTCAATCGTGACGAGCTCTTTACGCGGACCTCAACGTTCGGAGTCACTTGTGCTTGTACGGAACTCAGTAAACTCCTTTTTAGCTACTGAAATTGATTTGGTTAAGCAAAAAATAATGCTCATGAAATTCACCTTTTTCAAATTCTCTTAAAGTTCACGAGATTTTAAACTTTCAATAGCTCTCAAACACAAACCAAATAGCGCAGCTTGTCCCAAATTTTACGGCAGCCTATTAATCGATGGCAGTGGACAGCAGCAGTATTGCATTTAAGAATATGGCCCGGAAAACTAAAAAAATCACTGGCTTTTAAAAATGGCCTCGTATCTTTAATGTTCGCCGATTACTTCATGAATCTAAAGAAGTTGTTCAGTCAAGGGGAAAGTAGCTGGGGCATTTTGATTTAAACAATACATCAATTAAGTGTCTGAAACTCGAGACACGCCATCACAAGCACCAGATATTACTCAGAAGCGATCTCTCAAATACTTTAAGCTTACTTCAGCGGTTGTCTTCATCGTTCCGGCATCATTAACTCAAAATAGGTCAGTCGTAATAAAAGACTCTCAGAATGTAACCTTTGTTCATAAAGAAAATATTTTAGTTCCCGAATGCGCCTACTTAGTCCAAAGCTGAATCTCATGTTGGATATTATTTCTCTCCTTTTTTTTAGCACTGCAGCAATCAAAAGTAACGTGAGTGAAATAACATAAGTTTGTGAACTCTTGTCCTCATTTACCCCCGGGCCGGTCCTTTCAGTTATTTAGAAAGTTTAGAAGATATCGACATTATTCGCAAGAAATTCTATGATCTTTTACACAAGTTTTTCAAAGCAATATAATACTTCTGACCCAATTATATTCTCCAACGTGTGTTCTACAACACAAATAGTCACCTCAGTCGAAGTAGACAGAGAGGCTCTTATCTATCCTGACAGAGCTTTTGGTATATAATGCTGAGCAACGTGGGGCATAGTCGACTATTTTTTGTGAGTCGAAGGCCCTGGTAGATAGCACTCCATAAGTTACTGAGTATAATAATTGTATTGCTTTACCTAATTATGATATATAAATACAATTTTTTGGGGTATATAAAAAAAGAGA